ACATTCAAAGACATGCATTTATTGCTTGGACTGAGCAAGAACTCATGCACGTCTTTGAATGTGCTGTAGCCTATTCTTCAACCGTATTCTTATATTTAGTCGAGTGATAAAGTTTACCCTCTTCAACTTAATGCTGCTGAACTGAATTTATGGAGCAAACTATTTGCTAAAATATCCATAATATTAACAGCACCGCTGAAATACAAGCGCGCGGTTCTGTCAGTCAGATGCTCGTGAAAGCTGCATGTGTTTCTATAACAAACACTGTGTTTCCTTTCTTTCAGAATCATCATTGGCTGGTAGAAAGACAAAAATAGGTTACATAAAAGTTTTTACCTAAAAATGAAGGTAAGGTAAAGGTGTGAATAATTACATTTTAGACACATTGTCAGTGTATTTTCTCACCAATGAAAATAAAGCCCTATGAGAACTGCGTCTCAGATCAACACACAGCGGTGTTTCATTAATGGATCCACGTTTTAAAATTAATCAAGTGAATCAATGATTCAGTGAACCATTCATAAAGGCAGTCACTTGCTTTGTTTCTGAATCAATCAGCCATTTGAACGAATCGATTGAATGAATGATTGAATGACTCACTTAAGACAGGGATTTGCCGCCACCTACTGGCGCATTTTAGTTTTATATTCAGAGTATCTTTTCTTTTTCAAATAATTTCATATTTCACTATTTATTTGTATTTTTGTATGTTGAATTAAAATATTTCTTTCTAAGGCTACATATATTTCAGCTACCTTTTATTACCTGTCTATTCAGTGTTTTTTTCTAAATTAACACAATGATAACTATTATCTTTAATAATAACTTTATCTTTAATCGGCACATGATGTACATGTTAATTAGTTAATTAATCTCATTAATCATTCATTTGAGATTCATTTGATTAATTAATCGGCACATTATGTAATACATATTTTTTAAATAATCACTTGACAGCCCTTTAAAACATAAAAAAATCCCAAAATTTTTACGCTTTATAAGTTGCTAAATTAAAATGAAAATGTATAACACAAATTGATTTGATATGTGTAACATGTCCAAGCAGAAATGGTAGCAAAATTATCATTTAAATGCTATTTGTCCTAAATGCATTTAGACTAACAGTTAGAACACTTAGGATTGCATTTTCATCATGACGCCGTGGGATATTTGTAGCAAAATTCAATTTGAAAATGCATTCCGAGCTGACCACACCCACCCTCCGGCAATCATTGCTTCAGGGCAGGAATTGGCAAAAGCGTGTTACGTTTGGATCATTCGAAACATGGAGGCTGGAGATCTGATAAGATCGTTGAATTCACTGGCAGATGAAGTGGAGCGTGAACAGAGAAATATATGAAGAATACTCCATGCTAAAATCAAACGTTCGAACGACCGACCGACGATCAAACGTCAAACCGAACGTCTATCCGAACGTCTTGAGCTTTGAGCATCTCACACTGCGGGTGACCCACGTGACATCAGCGTCTTGAAATTAGCTGTTTTTTAAACATTTAAGAAGCCAAGCTGCTGTGTAAAGACTATAAATGGACATTACAAGCATTACAATAAAGATATTTTATACCTAAAATAATACTCAATCATTTCCTGCATCCTGCTATACTTCCCTGAATAAGTCTTTAAATGTGTTGTAGGCTATTCTAAGTCGTTCTGAGCAATAAATTGAAAAGGCTCCTACCTGTATATGACTAAACAAAATAACATGTAGTTTACTTGAGGTTCTGTTATAAATGTGTCTATTAGAAACATTAATTTAAATTAAATAATTATGCAAAAAATTGTTTGAAATTAATTAAGACTTCCCGAGTTTTTGAACGGAAGTCCTGAATGACTGTTATTAAAGGTCATTTAATGACTTTTAATGATTTTCAATGCCCCGCAGAAACCCTGCCTTTGTTGAAAAAGTAAATAAATCATTTTAATTATGTTTAATTGTTATAACACTTTGCAGTAACAATATTATATATTACAGTAAAGTGGTAGCTTTAATTACGGCATCTACTAGTGATGTTCGTTTCTTGAACGAATCGTTCTCTTGAGCCGGTTCTCAGGAAGTAACCAGTCGAGCCGGTTCATAAATCGAACTGAATCAAACTTTAGCTCCGGGTTGATGACGCAGGACGCACAGCCGAAGTAGCACGTCCAACTCAAAAAGAACCGAATGAGCCGGTTCAACCAACTGTCGAAGTCTGCCGAGGATTACCGAGGACTCAACAAGAACCGAATGAGCCGTGGCGAAGTTTGCCGAGGATTACAGAAGATTCTGATGAGTGAGTTGACAATACTGTGCAAGTCTGAGGCGCGTACTGGAAATATGCGTATTATGATTGTTATTAATTTACATTTTATTTTTAAAAAATCTTTTTTTTTTCAGAAATCTTTCTGTCGAGTGATGTAAATAAATTTTACAATAGTTTATTGTGCATGCATATTATATTTAAAGTTGCTTAAGCAAGGAGTTTATAAGACTGGTTTATTCATTCTTTATAATGTAGACATGTAGAACATATCCACGTTTGTGCATCAATGTCTGTAATGTGTGCTGTAGGTTCGAAACTTTTAGGAATCTTATCCAAGTTGTAGGCTAGTCAATATTGGTCAGTCAGTCATATCTGAGGATCCCCGACTGAAACTGTGACCACAAACACCATTAACTTAAGTGAATTATATGGCAAAAATCAGCAATATGCTTTCACACAAATAACTTTATTTTTGAATGTTTCAATATGCGTTGACACAAATTACTTATTTGAATTTTTCATTGATACAACATAGCACTGAGTTGTTAGAAAAGAAATGCGTATCGTTATTGCTTGATGATGTCAGGAACCGATGAATCGGCTTTTTGAACCGGTTCAATGAGCCGATCTGTCCGAAAAGAACCGGTTCGCGGAAATGAGCATCACTAGCATCTACTAGCAGGAGATGCCTGCATGCAAGAGAAAAGTTCCAGAAAACAGTTTAAGCCTAAAGCTGCCCGATCCTGTTCTTGGAGAGCTGCCTTTCTGCAGTATTCAGTTCCAATCCTGTTCCAACACACCTGCCTGTAATTATCAAGTGTTCCTGAAGATCTTAATTGGCTGGTTCAGGTGTTTTTCATTACGGGAGGAGCTGAACTTTGCAGGAAGGTAGATCTGGGCAACCTTGGCATAAAGCCTTCCAAACAGCTGCAAAGAGGAATTCAATGTGAAATAGCTCGGTATGGTTCATAGCATATTTATTTAGCGATAGCTTTTTCCAAATAATATCATTAAATGAAATCACTACACTATTCTGGTTTGCTTAGTTGACCGTGGGTCTGCTGCACCTGTGGCTCTCTCCACTTCAGGGTCAATCATACTTGGCAGTCAAAAGCAAGTGCCCTTGATTTCTGAACTCTGTTGCAAGTGTAAATTATTTTGTCAGCAGTGCTGTGACACTGTACCTGCACTGTATTTCTGGGCTAACAACCCAGGAAGCAATTAGTAATTGTTTGTTTTGATTTTTTATGTTTTGAGTGTTCGTGCATAACACTCCAGACATGAGTTGAGAGCCCGTAGTAGGACAGCATGGCCTTATCTCAGTGGGATCCACTCGACAGGGGGTCTGCTCATACTTGGAACAGCTAATACCATGTGACATTTCTGCGTCTACTGCAATTTGCAAGATTTTTCCCAGGAAAACAGGAAATTAGGTTCACATTGCTTAGCTGAATATCAGGATGTTGCTAATAAACTCCAACTGCTGGCTGTATATTTAATACATTCTTGTGATGCTTTCAAGTCATTTGTTTGGGATTTTAAAGCTTTTAAAAATGTAATCAGGTAGTCTGTCTTATAGAGACAAGCTTGGCCAATCAGATTTGAGAACCAGAACTAATTGTTGCACAGTACAGTCTAAAATTCTAAAATTGAAATTATATAAAGTTAGAATAAATTGCTTATAAGCTTTTGTTGGCCAGAGAATGTTTGGCATTTCTGTATGATACTTTTTACATCTTTAATGTTTCATTGTTTTGTTTCCTTTTTTTTTAAACTTTATTTATTTATTTAGTCATTTAGCAGACGCTTCTATCCAAAGTGACTTGCAAATGAGGAGGATAAAAGCAGTCAAAACTAACAAAAGAGCAACAATATTATAAGTGCAAATGACAAGTCTCGGTTAGCCTAACGCAGTACACATAGCAAGGTGTATATATATATATATATATATAATACATATATATATATACACATACACGCACATACATACACAAAAACAAGTAGATAGAATAGAAAAAATAGAAAGCTAGTGTTTGTTAGTTACATATAAGATACATATAGATAAAGTAGAATTAAAATAGAATAGAAAGTGCTAGAGTTAGAGGGTCAAATAAAGGTGTACACAGTAAAATAATTTTACTGAAAAGCCTGTAATAGTTTAATCCCACTGTTACCCCACACAATATAAATGTGTGTCAGCGTATAATAGCTTTTTGAAGCTAAAACTTAACAATTTGTGCTTGTATAGAAATAACATAATTACATAATATTCACTGGAGTAAAAAAAAAACGTGACAAACAGCCTTGGTCTCCCTTGTTGTACTAATAAACGCAAATGGCCCTCTCTATCGTGATTGTAGTTGCTCTCAACTGCTCATGGGTAATTCTGTTTACCATTCATCTCTATGGGATTCTCGTTCATAATAAGCTATATCATATCATATATCTTCCTGGTTTCATACACAGTTAAACGCGAGGTGTAACAAAAGGGTCACGGCTGTTCCTCGCAGTTCCACAGACGACCATAACATCCATAATTCCTATTGTGGTTCACATTTCTGACCGTATAGAGACGCGGGAGTGCCGTCTGGTGATTAATGACCCTGCCAATAACGAGAACCTGACTGGAAGGAGACCATAGCCGCTCACAGCCATCGTTCTGGAGACTCTTTGCGCGTGTGTAGCCGGTGGGAGGAGCCGCTTTCCTGCGATTGTCTGTCTGCGCTCGCGCTGCGCGCATTCCTCTAAAGTTGCGTTCTCGAGACATACTGCGTCGCAGAGGATTGCGCGCCGAGACAGTCACACTTGTTTCTGCCATCAAGCTTTCTTTTGGTTCCTTTCAAGATGACAGAAGAAAAGAATGTTCGACATTTAAAGCTGGTATGTGAGTGTGTGGTCTCATATCACGCTGTGCTGTAGTTAGTTGCGCTTTGGACAGGATTTCAACTGAGAATGAAGGTAGTTTAATGCTTCCTGAAGTAACCTAAAAGCGGAGAAGTTTGAATAATTCCGTAAACCAGGGTTGTGCTGCGAAACCTACCGAGCTGCTTACCTAGACAGTGTTTTGGGGCATCGTAAGCGCTTGGAAATGCTGTCTAGGTAGTGGGCTCGCTAGATATTGAGAAACAGCGCTGTAGAGTCGCTGTGTTTTACTTCTTAACCTGCCTGTTCTCTTCTGCACCGTGTTTCGACGCTATTATTGGATGTGTCTGGATGAACGTGTGTTTGGAGATGCTGACTAACATCGTATCGTCATTTTAGCAGTGATGTTCTCCTGTAGACAGAGATAAATGAATGATTAGTGTTATATAGGCTACCATACTCTCATAATCTGAATGTTTGGGGGATTTGCGCAGATCGCTATCATAGCGACAATACATGCATGTATTTTTTATGTTTCGCTGAAGCACTGAGCGTTTCATTTACTATGGACTTAACATTAAAAGTATTGAAAATAATACAATGGCTTTAAATTAATCTTGTCTTTCACTTGCAAATTAAGATCACATTGGAAAGTTTCTATTTTTATGTATTCATTTATTGAATTTCTTTTTCTAACTATTTTGGAACTATTTTTAAGAGCAGATATGTGGTTCTTAACTTGGGGTCCGGGGCCCACTAGGGGGCCTCGGTAAACCTTCAAGGGACCACAAAATGTAAAATATTTAAAAAGAAATATTGCATAATAAAAAAAAACACATCAATGCTATATAAGTGTTACACATAATTTGCATCTGATTTCTTTTTTTCAGAGAAAGATTAGTTTAACGTGCACTAGCTAGTTCTCAATCAAAAATTGTTAGCGGATGTGAAACATTTTGTTTTGTTGATTTGTTTTTTTTCAATGATATTTACACATTGTTTCTTTTAAAAATAGGTTAAAGGGGTCATATGATGCTATTTTAAAGATCAGTATTTTGTGTATTTGGCGTAACAGAATATGTTGACATGCTTTAATGTTCAAAAAACACATTATTTTTCAAATACTGTACATTATTGTAGGTCCTCTATGCCCCGCCTCTCTCAAACGCGTCGTTTTCAACAAAGCCCCCTCCTTTGACAAGCGCAGTCTGCTCTGATTGGCCAGCTGACCCAGTACATTGTGATTGGCCGAACACCACAAGCACGTGTCGGAAATGTAACGCCCCTTACCATAATCGCTTCAGCTTTCAAAGTAAATATCAAGACAGTTAATAATGTCGTTAGTTTTACCAACAGAGTCGCGTGACAGACACCGTGATGATGCAGTACACAAGCCGCGGTTAAGACAGCTGACGTGCTATGATTTCTGACAGGCAGTTCACTCTCCTGTGATGTGACCCTGTTCCCCTCACACACACGACGCGTTTCTCTGCGCTGCGCAAATCTCAGCATTTGAACAGTTAATACTTAAACTAATAACAAAACATACTTACAGTCGCTGATTCAGAAGCACCAGATTGTCATAGCAAAGTCGGAATTTACCCTTTTTTTTTTTTTTTAGAAATGGCCTTTGTGCACAGCCAGCCTTGTACTCTTCTAGGTTAAAAAAAACTGTTGTCCATAAAATGCGTTGCACAAATTTGAACATCTGGGTTGTGCTTTTCCGTTGTAAATAAATCTTAACCAATGATTCCTAATTGTATCTACTTCCGGAAGGCCAAATAAAGTGCTTTTGCTTTCGCACTGAATCACACAACGTCTCCCTGACATGCTGCTTCAACACGACTGCTGTTCCTGAAACCACGCCTCCTTTCTTTACGTGCACATTTGGGCTGCATTATGCTAATATTTCCACATAGTGATGTAGATATGTGGGGGCGTGTTAGAACGAGCCGTTTTAGGTAGGTGTGGCTGACTCTTAACTTTTTATAAAGAATATCTCTTTGGATTTGAGACTTTAGTGTTTGCAACTTTACAGATCTCCTTTATGCACCAAGAGCTTGTAACACTCCAAAGAGAAAGGAAAAATTGAAATCGCATCATATGGCCCCTTTAAAAGCTACCTAAGCAGAGCGAGAACTGTGTTTAAAGAACATATAAGCAGATAATTGTAATCAGCTGTTGTGCATAGTTTTAATAAAATACATTTTAATAAGTTCTATGGAAGAAAAAAAAGCTCACCTGCTATAAACAAGTTGAGAACATGTTTTCACTCTAAAAGAGTGTTGTTAGTAGTTGTAGTGTGTTGTTTTTAGTAGCATTACTCACTAACGTTTGAGATCGTAGGAAACTCGTGTTACTTCTTTTTCGAATCAGAACTTAAATCCATCAAAAGCTGTTTGGATCAGTTTTGATCTCAGGATTCCAGTGTAATTGTTTTCATACCTCAGCTGTTTTTGATTTGTAAGTGATTGTTTACACATCGTTATACAATATAAAGTCTATTGTAAATGTGGGTTTTTGTCGAGCTTTCATCAAAGGCTGTCAGAGTCCCTTAACAGAAAGCAGGTATTTGGGGGTTGTTTGTTCCGCTGGCATGCAGAACACCCTGTAGGCAAACCCTGAGTTGAAGGTCATTAAAATGTCATTTAGCAGCTGTCAGTTTTAAAAGATTATGTGGCAGATTGATCTGATTTGTTGAAAGAGCACTACTGTTGGCTAACATAACTTACACGCTAAACCATTTTAACATTTATGACTAGAATTCATAAAAGTGATCTTTAGTGGCATGTACAGCATGGCTGTCAGTCCCTTCACGTTCTTTCATACAGGCTTAGATTACTGCCAGCTAAAGTAGGGATGGTTAGCTCTTAAAAAAACATGACTTTTATTCCACTGCAACTCTCTGAGCAAAACAAACTGAGTGTACACTTGTTTTGAAGGCACCTCTTTTTTACACTCCTGTGGCTCATGACATGACACGTTCTCTCAGCTGAATTACACATGAATAACAGCGTAATTAGATGATGTGAGGTGCTGGGTAACAGAAAGCTGAAATGGGCTGAACTGTGCTTCTTTTTTTGCCCTCGCCATTGTTTTTGTCTCTAGGGCATGAACAAAAGTATGATGGACTATTGTGTGGTCAAAGGGCAACCACAAAATGCCATTTTGTCATTTAATTCTATAATTGTAATTGCGCCTACTGGAAAAAATACATCACTCTAAACCCGAAAAGTAAATTGAATGCCTTTTTAGCTGAAAGCACTGTTGTTTTAATTAATCCATTTATTTTTGATTTGGTTATATATTGCAACAGCATGCAAGGCTAAAAAAATGTGAAATATATTTAAAAGTTTATTTTTGTTTGTTTGTTTTTTTTAATCTTGAGGAACCATCATTGACCAAACAGACATTGTTGTCAACTTGATTAAAAATGTTATTAAAATACTATTATATTTTAAAATAGCTGTTTTCTTTTTTAATAGATTTTAAAATGTAATTTATTTATATTATTATATTATATAGCGTCATTACTCCAGTCTTCAGTGTCGCATGATCCTTCAAAATCATTCTAATATGCTGTTTTGCTGCTCAGGAAACATTTAAACATTTATTATTACCTGTGTTGGAAAAGAAAATGTGATATACTTTTTAGGGTTTCTTTTAAATTAATTAAAAAAAAAAATTCTATATCATAATGCATGTATGTACTGTCACTTTTGATCAATTTGAATGCATCCTTGCTGAATAAAGTTAATTTCTTAAAAAAAATAATGTATAAGTATTCTGACTATACATATCTACCAGCCCTATTCATAACCATATAGTATGAGTAAATGATACATGTGCATTGTAACTATGCACTATACATTTGTTACTATGCTTAAAATGCATTGCAATTCCTAAATCAGGAATGTGGCAGTTTTACCTCCCTTCGTTGGAAAAAACAGGCAGGTGTGGCTGTATTTTCTAAGTTTGCATTGTTGTCAGCATTCCATGAGGAACTCTGTTAGAACCACTATAAACAGAAACAATTACTTTTTCACAAAATTTAGAGCTTGCACCCTTCCTGATCGGTAATAGTTAGTGATATTTTTAGTCTACTGTACATGCAACATTTTTGTCCAATACTGAAGTTTATGTTTCTTCATCTCTCACCCCATTATTTGTCCCTGATGATGAAATTATCTTTTGCATTCACTGTGGTCAGCTATACAGAGTTTCCTGCACCGCTATTCAGCCGCTGCTGATTCTTCGCGGCAAAATAAATTATATTTCACCTGCTTTGCTTGCAGGCTGAATTGAATGAGAGGAGATAAAAATGTGTTGCACAAAACTTGGACAACATGTCTTTTTTTGGATTGTCTTCGCCGACTGCATTCAAAACCAACCACACAAGCAGTGTCATTTGATAATATATTAGCTATATTAACCGTTTTGGTGGGAATTATCAAAGCAGCAGTAGCAAACACTACAGCTACATCATATGGCCTCAAATTCAGCTCACATAGAGCTCTGTTGAGAGCCTCTAGAGGGGCCGGCTGGGGACTGCGTCTGGATTGGACTGGCTCTGAGAGAAGCGTGAAGGGTACATTTTGCACAGTCCCTACCAAACGCCACGCTGATCGTGTCTGCTCACGGAGGAGACACGTAAATCTCAGTGCTTTGTGGTGTAAGGTCGTTGTGTATCTAATGAAGATGTTGCATGTTGATCAGACGCTCCCAATCACATGTTTTATTCAGGGTGTAATGATTCTGTTTAAATTCTTGGTTATTTCTCAGTGTCATACTGTGTATTCATGAGACATGTGGGTATCAGGATGGTCCTGATGTTGACCCATGGTTTGTTTGTGTGATTCACAGTCCGCTCAAGCACATCGCATTAAGGGTGCTTTCACACCGTAACAGACGTTTGTAGATCGAGAAGCTCTCGGCCCCGCCCCTCTCGTCACATACCCCCATCGCCCCTCGCAGGCCGGGGGGTACTCACAAGCCTGCGCTCTACTCCCCCCCTCCCC